CATGCTGCGTCTGACTCTGTGAATTAACAAACTTCTTCTAAATAAATTGATCTCCACACTAACTTAAACTCTTTGAGATGATTATGATTAAGATTATCAGTTGATTTTAGGCAGTGTTACACAAATTCTATATACCTGAAAGATAAATATAATCGTATTCATTTGCTGTTGTTTTTATTTAATAACTGAAGAGACTGTAGAGTGACTGTGTGCCAGACTGCAGCTCCAATTGAAGCTAATGCAAAGAAGCAAGGGAAGAAAGGAAAAGAAAATAACTGGGTGGTAAGCGGCGAGAGGATTTGGCTTGTCACTGTACTGATGCAATGTTTTCTTTCTTTGCTTTTTCTCTTTTGGTTTGAATCCCTCAGTATTTAATGTTTTGTACACACCAGCGCAGGTGCTATTGCCAGAGGAGCTTGGCTCAAATTATTGTCAGTGACTGAAACAGAATGGGCCACAGTTTGTTTCCCAGGGAGGCATTTGGAAATTTATTTGTTCAGACACGAGGCTGAAAAACCATAAATCTCTAGATCTGTGTCAGTCTTCTGCAGATTGGCAGTTTGGAAGAAGATCTGCTCCCCCCTGCCATCATTTTCTGGAAAACATGGAAGCTCATAATTAAAAACAGCTAGTAGTTCTTTTTTAAGACCTTCCTGTTATTGTCCTTTTTGGCAGAGCTTTACAAAAGGGTTTAGCTTTTAAAGCCGTAATGTGTTCAGGATACGAAATCAAGGCCAAGTGTTGTCTCTAAATAATTAAACGTAATTTGACGATTGAAGAGATCTTCATATGTCCAGCAGATTTTTAAATTTTATGCTATTATTCTCAGTTCCAAAATGAAAATGATGCGAGCCTCTGCGTATGCTGCAATATTTGGAAGAATTTTAGTAAGTCCTTAAAAAGTAAAATCATCTGGACAGTAAAAGCCTGAACTTTAGTTCAGAAGTAGCCAAAGCCTGAGCTCCAGCCATGCTCCGGAGTCCTTTTTGTGCAGAGCCGTGGAAACTCCTGAATACCTGCTTGGCATGTTGCTAGGTTTAATTTTTTTTTAAAAGTCAAGTTCTTCCTTTTGTGGTAGTTTTGGGATCCACATAATAGAAACGAAGTATCCTACAGAGAGTGCTTTTGCGGCATGCCTGAACGATGCTGTAACTGCGTTGTTCTCTCCTCGTTACAAGGTGTTCTAGAGGGCTGGAAACAGAGGTTGGCTCTGCCCGCCATCAATCAATCACTTCTTATCTGAGAATTCGAGAAGGAAGGAGAGTGTTTTCAGTTTTTAGTTCTGCAATGTGAGTTTTATAAGACGCAAGTGTTTAAAAAAAGGTTTTTGACCACAGATGGGGATTTTTTGGCTTTAGTTCTGCCCTAAAACGCCACAAGAGAGCTCTCACTCACCTTTGATCATCTCCTGTCATGCCGATTTCTGCGCTCTGTTTAAAATGCGGCTGCTCCTGTTAAATAAAGCTGATTACATTAAAGTATACGTTACACAATTTTGTATACAGAAATATATATACAAGAGAGGCATGGGGCGTCTATTGAGGGGCTATTGCACAGGTCATATTCCTGGTTAAGTATTACTCTCTCAACAGTCACAAGACTGTATATGTGCTGGATTTCATTTGTACAGAAACATGCTGGGAATGATGAAATGTGGTTATTATGGCAGTTTAGTTGGAAAGCTATTACATTTGGGAAAAGAACAAGTTTGTATTTTAAAAGGTTTGCTGGGAGCCAGCCTGCATGTGTTTGTATTTATTATTGTTTGCTATGATTTAGTAACAAAAGAAGTTACACCAAACCCTCCCAAACAGACGGGAAGAAGAAAACTCATGTGTGTTGAATTACCATAGCTAAAATTCACGCTTTCTTCACCAAAACACATGTAACTCAACAATATTCCCAAACTGCTGCAAAACACAACACTGGCCCCATTTTAAATGAGAAATAAACCATTAAGCAGTAAAAAATCTTCCTGAAAGTCCTCGGTTATTTTTCTGTTTAATTTTATACCAAGACCAGTGTCGGCCAGGGCTGATATTATGTGTGATCTCCTTTCTCCAGACTCACGCTCACAGCTCGCTGGTCTACCTGGTGTC